AATATACTTATCACATATAATATATATTACATATATATATATTATATATATATTATATAATATATACTTATACCTATACATATATATAATGTACATATATAACATATATAACATATATATACATATATATATATATATATATATATACAATATACATATATATATACATATACATATATATATATATATACATAATACATATACATATATACATATACAATATAATAATATATACATATACATATATATATAACTTTAATACATATACATATAATATTATACATATATATATATATATATATATATATATATATATATATATATATATATATATATATATCCATAATACATACACACACACTTACAACACACACACACATACATATACAGATATACACAATATTCAAAAACACCATAACGTGTACACAAAGACGTTTGTCGACACAGCCACTATACGAAATGAAAGTAAACCGTAACGTTTCGAACCCGCTAGACTTCCTTATCAGAAGAAGAATAAATAACCGAAATGACCCCCCCCCCCTCATCACTTCCGCCCGGGCGACGGCGCGTCGAGTGAGTAGTGAGTGAGTGAAGGGTGAGGGATGAGGAGTGAATGAGTGAATGAGTGAGTGAGCGAGCGCGCTTAAATCCATACATCCCCAGAGCCCCCCCCCCCCTCCCCCCCCACTTACTTCTGAGGAGAGAGCGCCAGCTGCCCCCGAAGGAGCGCAGGTTGCAGCGCCTGACCGCGCCTCCCCCCAGGATGTTGAGGGTGCTGTCGCAGGCGGAGGCGGCGCTCCTGGAGGACGCCGTGGAGGATGCGGAGGAGGCGCAGGAGGAGGCGCAGTGGGGCGAGCAGGGCAGACGCGCGGGGTGGAAGCAGAAGAGGCGCAGGTCCTCGGCGGAGGTGGCGGCCGAGTGCAGGTCGGTGAAGGAGAGCGAGCGACCGCTGCCGCAGAAGGACGCCCTCCCGAGGGAGCTCCTGTCCAGGGACAGCCTCTCTAGAGACGTCCTGTCCAGGGAAATCCTGCCCAGGGACGCCCTCCGCAGGGGCACCACGCTCATCTCTAGCCCCTCGTCCTCAGGCTCTTCGTCCTCGAGGCGCGGGAGGGGCGCGGCCAGCGACGCCCGCAGCTCCGCCACGAGAGCCGCCGCCTCCTCGCCCGCCGCCCACATCAAGGACTCATCGCTCCGGGCGCGGCTGAGGTCCAGGTAGGAGTACGTGGGGCCGGTGTCCGCGAAGCTCTGGTACGTGGAGGACAGCTCCCGCTGCTTGGCCGCCCGCGTCACCATGGTGGAGGGGGTTGGGGGCTAGGGGAGACAGGCAGAAGGGGAGGAGGGGGAGGTGGGGAAAGCAGAGGCGCAGGCGGTGCCGCTCACTCTCGGGGGAAAGGTGACGCTGCGGAGCACATCTCGGGCTTTCTCTCTCTTCTGTGTCGCGGGCGCGCCCTCACATGCTGCAATCCGTAGTCTTGCCTTTTTTCTGTCAAGCCAAATCCGTTTCCGAGGATTGGACTGTCACATCTTACGTGTCTTTCGCGCAATCGGTTCCGTTTTCAAATCGCCTCACGCATTCTCTTTCTCTCATCCTATCAAAAAGGATCACATCAATGCACAGAAAGCACGGAGGTCACGTTGCGTTCACACAGGGCGAGCCGCACACAGGCCGCCATTCGCACACAAGGCCAAGGGGCAGACGCAAGCAGCGAAAGAAAGAGACAGAGCGAGAGGAGATTCATCGGCTAAATGACCATGAAATATGCAAAGGTCTTGCCCAACTTACTCTCTCGCTCTATCCATATTACGTGACACAAAACTTCCTCTCTACTGCGATAAGACAATGATAACAATGACAAAGTAAAAGTACAGAAAAAAACTGACGAGCTTTTTCCAATTTTACTTCTTACAAACACCCTCCTACTCCACGCCATAGCCAAGGCAGGGCGACCAGCCTCCCGACGCACTGCAACTGCGTCCCCATTCTGCCTGCAAGCGCGTCTGCGGCAGGCGGCGTGTCAGCAGAAGGGGCACGACCGGCCGCCCAGGATACACTATTCTTTTACTTTCGTTCAGCTAGTCATTCATTGCGATTCCTTCTCGATTCGGCGGCGAGTGACCCCACGGAAGGAAGGAGGAGGGTTCACTGAGTGAGGGTTCAAGAGTGTCACACTTTGCAACGGCCTCCACACCCCTGCTCTCCTGCCTCACTGCCCCGCCCCTTCTTCCCGCCGCATGCCACTCTCGCCCTACACTGCCACAGTGACCCTCATCACACCCGCACCACACTACCGTCACGCCACACTGATCACACTCGGGCGGCGCCTCAAGCTGGCGCCCGAGTGTGCGCACAAAAGGTCTACGTGGCATCCATCTCATACCCAGATTACAATTAAGGACCAAACGCACATCCTCCTCAAGTAAACACCGAAGGAAAAACTTCATTTACACGAACAGCCGCCGCCGTGCCGGACACAGAGGACATCTCAGACTTCGTGGCAGAAGGTAGCAGTCTCATAAACAAGCCTAATATATACTTATATAGACCTTGGATGTAGAAGCCGCTGGCTTGGTCCTCGCTGTGCGAGGAGCCTCGTGTTGGACGAAGCTGGACGCGGCCGAACGGAGAAAGGGTCAGAGGAGGATACGACAGTTATAAGGAATGAGTTAAGCGTTGAAACCAGTAAGAAGATTGGGGGAGAAGGGATGGGAGAGGGACAAGGAGGGGGTTGGAGAAGGAGAGAGAGAGAGAGAGAGAGAGAGAGAGAGAGAGAGAGAGAGAGGAAGAGAGAGAGAGAGAGAGAGAGAGAGAGAGAGAGAGAGAGAGAGAGAGGGAGGGGAGGGAGGAGAGAGAGAGAAGGAGAGAGGGAAGAGAGAAGGAGAAAGAGAGAAGGAGAGGAGAGAGAGAGAGAGAGGAGAGAGAGAGAAGGAGAGGAGAGAGAGAAGGAAGGAGAGAGGAGAGAGAGAGAGAGAGAGAGAGAGAGAGAGAGAGAGAGAGAAGAGAGAGAGAGAGAGAGAGAGAGAGAGAGAGAGAGAGAGAGAGAGAGAGGAGAGGGAGGGGAGGAGGAAGGAGAAAGAAGGAGAGAAGAGGGGAGAAAGAGAGAAGAGAGAGAGAAGGAGAGAAAAGAGAGAAGAGAGAAGAGAGAGGAAGAGAAGAGAGAGAGAGAGAGAAGAGAGAGAGAGAGAGAGAGAGAGAGAAGAGAGAAGGAGAGAGGAGAGGAGAAAGGAGAGAGAAGGAGAAGAGAGAGGGGCAGAGAGAGAGAGAGAGAGAGAGAGAGAGAGAAGAGAGAGAGGGAGAGAGAGAGAGAGGGAGAGAGAGAGAGAGAGAGAGAGAGAGAGAGAGAGAGAGAGAGAGAGAGAGAGAGAGAGAGAGAGGGAGGGAGGGAGGGAGGGGAGGGAGAGAGGAGGGGAGGGAGGGAGAGAGAGGAGGAAGACGAGAAGAGAGAGAGGAGGAGAGAGAGAGAAGAGAGAGGAGGAGAGAGAGAGAGAGCAGGAGAGCGAGGAAGAGGGAGAGAAGAGCAGAGAGAGAGAGAGGAGAGAGAGAGGGGAGAGGGAGAAGGAGAGAGAAGAGAGGAGGAGAGAGAGGAGAGAGAGAGAGAGAGAGAGAGGAGCAGAGAGAGAGAGAGCAGAGAGAAGAGAAGGGAGAGGAGGAGAGAGAGAAGAGAGAGAGGAGAGGAGGAGGGAGGGAGGGAGGGAGGGAGGGAGGAGGGGCGAAGGGAGGGAGAGGAGAGAGGAGAGAAGAGAGGGGGAGAGAGAGGAGAGAGAGAGAGAGTGGGGGGAGGTAGAGGAACGAGAGAGAGAGAGAGAGGCGAGGGAGGGAGGGAGGGAGGGAGGGAGGGAGGGAGGAGGGAGGGAGGAGAGAAGAGAGAGAAGAGGAGAGAGAGAGAGAGAGAGAGAGAGAGAGAGAGAGGAGAGAGACAGAGAGAGAGAGAGAGGGAGGGAGAGAGAGAGAGAGAGAAGGGAGGGAGGGAGGAGGAGAGAGGGGAGGGAGGAGGGAGAGAAGAGAGAGAGAGAGAGAGAGAGAGAGAGAAGAGAGGAGAGAGAAGAGAGAGAGAGAGGAGAGAGAGAGAGGAGAGAGAGAGAGAGAGAAGCAGAGATTGGAGTCAGAGAGGCCAGTTCATGCACAAGGAGCCGTGCGTGTCGCGGCAAATTGCTTTTAATTGGGCTTAGATTGGGGCGGGGCGAGGACGGGCGAGCCTTGCGGGCGGGCGGGAGGCGCCTCCGCCCCAAAGCCGATTCCCCTTCGGCATCGAGATGCCCCTACGGCGCGAAACGCAAGCGGCGACGCCATACGGAGGGTAAAAAGCGGCGCCGGTTCCCACGGGAACGCCGAGGGAGGGTCCGGGAGGGAGTCGCCGTGCGGGCGCGGGTGCGGGGGTGGGGTGGGGGGGGGCACTTCGCTCCGCCAGGCGTCAGGGAAGCCTAAGAGTGCACTTGTATGTGCATTAGTTATCTAATTCTCTTCTCTCTCTCTCTCATACAAAACACATAAATAGGGAGAGAGAGAGGGAAGGGAAGGGAGAAGGGAGGAGGGAGAGGGAGAGGAGGGAGAGGAGAGGGAGAGGGGAGGGAGATGGAGATGAGAGGAGAGGAGGATGGAAGATGGCAGATGGAGATGAGAGAGAGAGAGAGAGAGAGAGAGAGAGAGAGAGAGAGGAGAGAGAGGAGAGAGAGAGAGAGAGAGAGAGAGAGAGGAGAGAGAGAGATGACGAAGAGAGAGAGAGAGAGAGAGAGAGAGAGAGGAAGAGAGAGAGAGGAGAGAGAGGAGAGAGGGAGAGAGCGAGAGCGAGAGAAGAGGGAGAGAGAGAGACGGAGAGAGAGGAGAAGGAGACAGAGAGGAGAGAGGGTGAGAGAGAGAGAGAGAAGCGGGGGCGAGAGAGAGAAGGGGGGAGAGAGAAGAGGAGAGAGAAGGCAGGGAGAAAGAGAAAGAGAGGAAGTGGAGAGAGAGAGAGAAGTAAAAAGGGAAGAGAGACAGGGTGCGGGGCAGAGAGAGAGGAAGGGAGAGAGAGAGAGAGAGGGAGAAGGAGAGAGATGAGGAACCGTACGGCAACGAGAAGATAGCGAGATGAGATGAGCGAGGGAAGGAGGAGAACGAACGAGAAGACAGCCAGATGGAAGAGAAGCAGGAGAGAGAGAGACAGAGAGAAGAAGAGCGAGGCAAGGGAAGGAGGAGGGAGGCACGCCGGGAAGCGGGGGGAGAAAAAAGAGGGGGGGGGATAATAAGGGGGGAGGGTAGGAGGGGAGAGCGAGATTAGTGGGTGGAGAGAGAGGAGAGAGAGCGAGAGAGGAGAGAGAGAGAGGACGAGAGATGAGAGAGAGAGAGAAAGAGAGAGAGGAGAGCAGACCCCGGAGAGTAAATGGAAGAGAGAGACGGATGGCGAGAAGAGGAGAGAGAGAGAGAGAAGGAGATCGAGAGAGAGTGCGAGGAGAGAACGAGAGAATGTATGGGAGGGTGAGAGACGAGAGAGACAAGGAGCGAGGAGAGATCGGAGATGAGAGAGAAGGAGAGAGGAAGCAGAGAGAAGAGAGAGAGGAGAGGATGGAAGGGACCTGCACCTCTTCTCATCCCCCCCCCCCCCCCCCCCCCCCCCCCCCCCCCCCTCCCCCCCCCCCCCCCCCCCGCCCCCCCCCCCCCCCACCTAATCCGGAAATATTCCCTCCAGCTCCGAACGGCCCCCATTCCGAAAAAGAGCCCCAGCCAAAGGGTCCTGCCCACATGTTGGCAGGAGCGAGGCAGCCGACGCATTATAACTTCCAGCTGCGGTTGGCAAGTCGGGTTACAAAACAGATGCGCCGAGGCTCCCGACCAACAAATGGCAGTCGGGCTCGGGTGGCCACAGCGCCACGCGGGCTATTTTCGCCCAGAAATCCAACTCCTCCATTCATACGGATATTCTACTTTACTCTGCTTTAATTTTGAACATTGTACGTCACATATGGATCTCCAAACGCACATCTTAATACAGGCAACAATGGCAACGAAAATGCCAAGCCTTTGTTGCAGAACAAAAAAATACATTTAGAGGGATGACCTTTCTACCACTGTATATTGCGTTAATTAAAAAATGTTTCTTCAATCCCACAAGTTATGCTCTGCGGCCTTCAAACCCGCGTGCGTGTGAGTGCGATGAAGAGAGAGAGGGAGTAGGAGATGGATGGATAGGTAGATAGAAAGATACGAGATAGAGAGAGAGAGAGAGAGAGAAGAGGGAGAAGGGAGAGGGGAGGAGAGGAGAGGGAGGAGAAGGAGAAGGAGGAGGAGAAGAGGAGAGGAGGAAGGAGGAGAAGTAGGGGAGGAGAGAGAGGAGAGAGGAGAGAGAGAGAGGAGAGAGGAGAGAGAGGAGAGAGAGAGAACGAGAGAGAGAGAGAGAGAGAGAGAGAGAGAGAGAGAGAGGAGAGAAGGAGAGAGAGAGAGAAGAGAGGAGAGAGAGAGAGAGAGAGAAGAGGAGGAGAGAAGAGAGAGAGAGAGAAGAGAGAGAGAGAGAGAGAGAGAGAGAAATGAGAAGAAGAGAATGAGAGAGAGAATGAGAGAGAGAGAGAGGAGAGAGAGAGAAGAGAGAGAGAAGAGAGAGGGTGCCGGAGGGAGAGAGAG